AGGGAGATTGGACCGTGGACCAGGCGCTCCCTCCGCGGGGCGGGCTCCCTGGCGCACGCGCCACCCCCTTCGCCATCCTCAAGGACTAGGACTCTGGCCCGCCCCACCGTCTCAAAGTCGCATCGTGGTTTTTTTTGTCCGTGTCTCACTGTAAAAGTTGGCTTTGCCGCACGTCGCGCGCCCTCCCTGGACGCTGAACTGAGACGCCAAGCTGGAGAGACCGTGCTTTCCCGAGGCCGGCCGCCCCGCCAGCAGAGCCTCGGCCCCCCTAGCGGTGCCCGGCTCGGCAATATGAAGGAACAGCCCTCATGTGCGGGCACCGGGCATCCGAGCATGGCGGGGTATGGCAGGATGGCCCCCTTTGAACTCGCTGGCGGCCCCGTGAAACGCTTGAGAACTGAGTTCCCTTTTCCCTATCTCTTCGCAGAGGAGGCCTACCAGAAACTGGCCAGCGAGACCCTGGAGGAGCTGGACTGGTGTCTGGACCAGCTAGAGACCCTGCAGACCAGGCACTCCGTCAGTGAGATGGCCTCTAACAAGGTAAGTCCCTGTTGTAACCGATGTCCTCTAGGCTGCTGATTCCTTCGCTAGTGAAGCCACCAATCTCCGTGGCCCCAAGAAATAAAGAGATTTATTACACTGCATGTTGGCAGTTTTGCTTTCTCCGAGGGAGGTTCCTGATTCTGTGCCTTCCCTCGCTCTTCCATTCACTCCCAATAAACATTTGGCAAAAGCAACTTTGATAGTTTGATTGCGGTACCCCTAGGACACAGTGAATGTTTTTTGGGAGTGGGGAGATGTGGGGGACTCGTAAGTGACACTTTGCCCTTGCAGCAGAAACCCAGTCCGGTCCATTGGTGTTGCATGTTTAAAGGTATTCTTGGGATTCCCAGTTGGAAATAAGAGTTACTGGAGGTCAATGCAATCTCTTGCATGTCACCACCTTTTATACTCAAACTGAACTTGGAACCTTAACCCACATTTATCTAGGTGTCAGGGTACCCTGTAAAAACTGAGCCTTTATGTGCTCATTGACCATACGTGTCACAAGAAAGTCAACAAAGTTAGAAAATTCATTATGCTCTTTAACTTTGTTTCTTTGAATCTTGAAAAGAAAGTCAGTTTTCTGAGGACGTTTAGTTATAGTGATGCTTCAGTGGGGGCATTTCTGCCTTATATGCCAAAGCACTGGTCTTGGTTTGTTGGAGTTTTGAGGGCTAAGAAGTAACCTTCATCCTGACACAGCCTTCAAGCAAGGTAGAGTGTTGTCTGTTTTGCTATAGTTTTTGGAATTCCTGTTTGTTTTTTTTTTCTTTAGTTGTCTAAGGAAATAATTGAGATTATGTATGTTTTTTATAGTTATTAGCTGAGGGGATAGAAAGGAAGCATGTGAATGCTGGATGCAAATGGCTGAGGGATTCAGCCAGTAAGGACTGGTAGTTTTGTGTGACAATTAGTAACAGTTGCCTGTTAAAGAAATTTAATTTTTGGCTACCTATTGACAAGGTCAGGAAGGTTATATCATTTTACTGTTTATGTTGTGCACCATTTTTTCAACAATTAGAGGTTTTTTTGTTTTGTTTTTGCTTACTGTAGTTTTTATCCTACCTGTTTTTTTCCCCCCTGCAGATTTAATGATACCATAGCATATCAGCCACTTGTCTTATATGTTGACAGTGCTTATATAAACAGTATTGTTTTTAAGTGAAATGTTACCTTCAAATAAAAAAGACTCTCTACCCACTGTCTGCAGGCACTAACCTACCCATATGCACACTAGTGATCAAATATGAATTTGTTTTTTGTCATCGGGGCCTCATTTCTAACTTTGGCATGGCTCCTCATCGAAATGATTGGTTATTACTCTCTCACTCCTTGCTGTGGCATTAGGTGCCATTGTTCTCATCTGGCTAACAAAGTCTTAGTTCATTGATTGATTTTATAAAATATAAATTGTTCTTTCATAATTTGATTCATAATAGCAGTAGGCATATGCTGAGTATCTCAGTATCTTACATGCTAAAAGAGACCATTCTGCAGTAGGCCTGAGTTCTTAATTCTCGTCTCTGGTTAATTCTGTGTAGTAAAATGAGGAGAACCTGAAAGCACCTAAAGAAATATGCAAGCATTTGCTTATGTTTTTGAGATAATTTAACTGTACTTTTTCAGCAAAATGAACCTGAGAAGGTACAATTACTTTTCTCCAAAATCTATATTATTAACAATGAGCTCTGTCTTTTAATTTATGTTAATGTATTATAAAGGACAACTGTCAAGGAATTAATTTATCTACATTTTAGGATAAAATATAAAACTTTATGTCACAATAATTGCTCAAAATGGTTCCTTTCTTTTGAAGGTGCCACATAAGACAGGGTTTTTATTATTATTATTATTATTCATTATAAAGACCTTTTAATTAGACTTAGCGTTACTTTACAGGTTTAGTGTGGGAAGTGGTTTTATTTGGTTGAAGTGAAATCTAGGTTAAGTGAGAAAAGACTTTTTCAAAATGTAGTCACTAGCAGTGTTTATGTCTGTGGTTGCTGACAGAAGACTTATTTTTAATGTTAAAAAATTTACGTCAGATGAAGCTGTTGCTTAAACTTTTAATGTCTAAGCCATTCATTTTTTTTTTGTTTGCTTTAACTCATTCATTTCTGAATGAGTGCTAAGCTCATGTGACTTTTTATTGATGTAAAAGGATTAACATAAAAGGGAAAAAAAAGCACTCTTAGTACAGGTTGTAAAGTGACCCTTCTACTTGATAACAAGGGTACGAATAAGTCACATCCACATGAGCTGTAAACTGAGTTGCAGCAGCAGATCTAAAGGTCCAGTGAGTGAACCTAACTCTGAACCGGAATTGTGACAGCTTGCATCACATGTCCACTGGGTTGTATGATATCTCTCGAGTATGAATGAATAATTCTGAAACATAGCATTTTCATTATTGGTTTTATTATCATCTGTTCTTTTTATGTGTATTCGTTCGAACCAACTGATGTTTTCAGGTTATTTTCTTGTTGCCTTTGAAAAGTCATGACATTTTTCTGTTTTTTTCTCCACTGAGGTTTTAAAAAATATATATATACTCTACAACAATAAAAATACTAGTAGGAGTTGAGAGTTTGTAAGTGATAATATAGAAAACTATACAAATAATCACTATATCTCTATAGTGATTATTGTGGAGATGGATTTGGGTGTTAGGAAGAAGGAAATTGATTCCTCAGATCCATTTAACAAATTGGGTTAACAGATTCTTTATATGTTTTAGAAAATCTTAATGAAAAGAATTAGCAGTTTTTAAATGATGCTTTAGAAGCAACCAGCTATATTTCCTGATTGGTATTGTAATGTGTATAATGCTTATCGATGTTTTAGAGACTGGAAAATTATTGAATTCTTGGCCAAGGCCAGAGTTGGCTGTAACACATGTCAGATGCTTGTACCAAGTAGGGTAAGAGGCTCCAGATGGCATTTAATTTGAGTGGTTAAATCTACAGCACTTACCCTCATAAGCACATTAATTTGCTTGAGATTTGTACAGATTTCCTTTGGAACCTCATCGCTGTAGCTGAGAGAGGTTTTGGTGAGGTCTCAAAGCTTTTAGAGGCAGCAGACCTGGAAACTGAATCATGATTTTGTTCCTTGCTAGCTGACTTATATCAGAGAAATAAACATTTTTAGCTTTAATCTCCTTAGCATAAAAGATAGATACAGTAATATCCATTTTGAAAGGTCAGTGCAGGAGTTTGAAAAAGTATGTATAAAACAGCTAGCTAACAAATAGTGTCTGACAATATTGTTGTTCTTGGTATTATTATTTGAGATGTAGTTCAGACTTCATTGGTTGCTTGCTTAGCTAAAATATGTTTTGTTTTGACCATAAATTGTCACTTGTAATTTATGCTTGACATTTTAAGTTTCATGGATTTTAATAATATAATTATTAAATAACTGTATTTAATGCACATTTTTTTATTATAAAAAATGCTTATTATATGTACATGTTCTTGGTATAATATAAACAAACATTCCGAAGTTCTAATTAGAAGTTTAGTCTTTTCTTAAATTCCAATAACAAAATTCCAGACAGAAGAGCCAAATACTTTTTGTTTTACCTTAAAACTGAAAACACAGTCCTAATCATTATTAGAACATGTAAAGCATAATGTGAGATTGGTGGGCACATTTCCATTCTTTTGTACAGCTAAAATACTTTTTTAGATATTTTTAATGCAGAGTAATTTCACAGTGTTTTGGTTACTTTCTGTGATGGAAAGTCAATTGAGCATTCAAGGAGGCCAGGCAAGGAGTCTAAGCCTCAGGGCTTTCAAGGATTATGCTATGGAACCCTATAACTTTATCCACTTGTGACCTAATAATGCCCATGTCACTAGGCCTTCAGTGTAAGTGCAGTAATGTTTGAAGGAGAAAACAAAACCATTTGATTTCCTCTCAAAATATGCCATTATAAGAATGTATTTTGTTTCTACGCTCTAATTTTTGGCCAGTTTCTTGGCTTGGCATTACTGGAAACTGCCGTGCTTCAAGCTGAAAGTCTGTTTTGAAATTAGTATTCAAGCATCCTCCTAAAAGACCTAAGGTTTTACCCTAGTTCATTCCAGATGTATGTATGCCAGCTTTACATATGTGATCATTTCTATTTTATGGAATTTATTTTGTCTGTTTGTTTGTTTGTTTGTTTAATAGAAATATCTCTATCATGTTTCTGTTGTTCATAAATCAATTGCTTTTCTGGGGTGCTTTTTCTTAGTGTTTTCATTGTCTGCTCCCCCTGCTGCTTTTTAATAGTCAGTGCATACATAACATGTACTAGAACTTTCTGTGACTCTTGCTACATTTTCTTCTGGGCAAAAGGGGTATTGGAATGAATATAGAATGCTCATAGAAGTGGCTAAATCTTGATATTTCAGCATTATGCAAGTATAACTCTTAGAACAGAAATAAATATTTAACATTTGCTAAGAAGGAAACTGAAGGTAGTTGGAAAAGGCATTCTTATTTTATGGAGAACAAACAGCAAATAGTAGTCATTTTTCTACATTAAAATATTAAAATTTATTGACATAGTCATAAGAGAATTGTTAAGAATTAATCAATGTGCCTGAAGAAAAACTGTAAATTTTAAAAGAAAATATCTTCTATAAGTACAGAAGCTCAACTTACTGATGTTTTGAGTTTGCTACCTGCTTTTTCATCCACTTAATAAAAGTAGATTTGGCAAAGATTTATGTAGTTTACATGTAGTGCCATAGTTATTATGAAGAACTGAGAATGCTTGTTTTTATAATCAATGTTAGAAGAAAATATTTTCTATGCTTTTATCTAAAGTAATAACATAAAGAAGGAATGACTTTTAACAGAAATTTTTATGTTTCATTGAATAGTAAATCCCTTGACTTTAATAAAACACTACAGATTAAAACAAATCTTAATTTGTCTCTATTATCATCAACTCAGTTTCTGTACCAATATTAAGTGGCAGTAAACTTAACTATCCCTAACAGTTA